TGAAGGTGCTTCAACAAAGTACTGAGTAAAGGGTCTGAATACTTACGCCAATGTGATATTTCAGTTTTTCCTTTTTAATAAATTTACAGACATTTCTAAAATTCTGTTTTCACTTTGTCATTATTCAGTTTTTCCTTTTTAATAAATTTACAGACATTTCTAAAATTCTGTTTTCACTTTGTCATTATTCAGTTTTTCCTTTTTAATAAATTTACAGACATTTCTAAAATTCTGTTTTCACTTTGTCATTATGGGGTACTGAGTGTAGATTAATGAGAAAAGAAATGAATTTGAACGATTGTAGTATCAGGCTGCAACATAACAAAATTGAAAAACGTGAAGGGGGTCTGAATACTTTCCGAATGCACTGTATGTATGAACTGATAGTGCTGTTTTAATTGAAAGATAATTGATACATTGAAGAAAGTATGTTTAATTTATACAATCTTGAGCTGTTAACATGAGGATGTTTCATTTCAAGTGTGGCTTTTACGTACTTGAATATTTTTTTACATTTCTGCAATGTTATGTTAACTTCTAATAAAAATAAATTTAGTTCTCTGTGTAGTGAGAGTGTACTTCTGAATGATATGTGTGCATGTTTAAGTAAATATAAACAAACTGCAATCATGAGGTTCTTTATGATAAAATTGCCAAATGTTTTTCATTAGCATGTCCTCCAAAAGTAGAACATGGAGTGGGCTATATCCACAACAGCAGATTTGGTTAATTAGCTGGAGCCTCCAGTTTTGAAAGCAGATTTAGACTCCCCTCCCTTTTACTTCCTTCCATAGAATTGCTGTAGTAGCAGTAAATTATGTCATCTTTTGCTGATAGAGAGTTCACAGGCAGTGGCATATATAAGATGCACTGAGAGAAGATCCACGTTCTTTGCAAGCTTACAAGAAACCTGGGGCTTTTTTCCTCTTTTACAAATGCTCGACAAATTTAGGAGCAAAAATTAGTTTAAAAATTGACAAGCTAAAGCAGTAAATTACACATTGGTACACTCTGGCTTTCACTAACATAGCTGAATGTGTCATGTCTTCAGTAATGTTGTTTGATGTTTGCTGTGCAGTAGAATTATCTTAATGCAAAGCAAGAATCAAGTTAGGTCCTATCAGCTGCAGTATAAATGTAAAACAAATGCTGCAGAAAAATTACTCAAGAGTATATTTACTGTTGTAAAAGATAAGCATACATAAAATGTCTATATGAAATGTAGTTCCCCAAATCCTGAGAGTTAAATTGTCTGCACCAATCCATGAATGAAATGTGGCCTCAAATCTTTTCACCAAAATCATGCTGCCAGTTTAAGTTGTGTCTCCATTTGATTCAGTGTTATTCAGCTTTTCTTCCTGTGCTATATCTGACAAAGAAGCCATTAAGAGTACAATAGATTTTGTTGTGGCATTATTATATTGTAAAATTCTAAATTAATATTTTGTGTGCTCTGCAGTTTGTCTGATTCCAGAAAAAGGACACGAACAGGAAGAACTTGGCCATCCACGATACCACACTTGAGGAGAAGAGGACGCCTTCCACGAAAAGCACTCCAGATTCAGAACCCAGAAATTGTAAAAGAAGATGAAGGCAAAGATGACTATCAATATGATGAACTTAATACAGAGATTCTGAATAATTTGGCAGATCAGGAGCTGCAGCTTAATCATCTCAAGAACTCTATTACCAGTTACTTTGGTGCTGCAGGTAGGATAGCTTGTGGTGAAAAGTATCGTGTTTTGGCACGTCGGGTTACACTTGATGGAGAAGTTCAGTATCTTATGGAATGGGAAGGGGCAACTGCTTCATGACTATAGTGCTGAATATTATTTGCTGCACTGCCCTTATCTATTTATAAGCAGAGTTTATACATTGGAGTGCAGAATGGAACTTAAATGGATATTTGTAAAAATGAAAAACCAAGTTAGCCTTAACACTTCTTGAACAGAACAAATTTTACCATAAGAGGCCTACCAACTAAAAAATAAGGCTGGATTCCTATGTGTTTAAGATGAGGATCTAGACTGTTGGGATGGGAATCTGGGATTTCATTTGCTTTAAAATGTTCACAAGTCAAAAAGCCTTGTCTCTAGAGTACATTCCATGGATATGTTTTTTGTGGGTTGGGACTATTTTCTGTAAGTAGGACAAATTTTGAGTAAGATACTTGACCTTTTCTTATCCAGAAGTTTGCAAAAGACTATTTCTACTTTGACAACCCTAGATTTTCATAAGGTGCAGTGTATATACTTCCTGCTGAGGACTGTAAAATATTGAAATCTTTCAAGCAAAGTGTAAAAAATATATATTGAGCTTGTAAATTGCTCTGTGACTAGACTTTGTTGTCTTTTTAATATATTCTTTGCATGTGTATATATACACATACGTGTGCATGTGTATATATGTGTGATTGTGACCTATGCAATATAAATTATGGGATTGGGCAGCTTTTGACTATATATCCCATAATTCTTTTATCAGGAATAGTTGCAGTATTTACACAGCAGCATTTCTTCTCAGGCTATATTGGGTGCTGTTGTTTGCCACATACTATAGAATATGTGTCAAATGAGTGCTGGGTGTTCTTGCAGTGAGTGCAGTCATTAATGTCATAATGCTTTTAGAAAATAATTCAGGCTGCAGTTCTACACATGGGAGCCCAGTGATTTGGAGTGCCTCTCAGGTTCACATTATCCCTCTCCTGTGCAAATTCCCACTCTTTTTGAACAATTTACATAGATTATATCAAACATAAAACCAAGGCTTATAGTTGCCTCTAAATTAGTTCTAAGTGGAGAGAGAGGGATTAAAAATACATGGTCTAGTTTTCTTGTTAAAAATACCTGGAAACAGTGCAGCTATACCAGGCCAGGTTTTTGAGATTGCAGTGCTCAAATCATTTACATTCAACTCAGAAGGATTTCTAAATAAACATGTATAGGATTGCATTGTACATTTCCTCAGTTGAAGCAGTCGGACTGTACACAGCCTTGCAGCATCAGTTTATGTTGGAAAAAAAAACCCCTAGCTGTTTGAGGCACAGACTTGAAAATTTGAGAATGAGCTCTGCTTAAGAGAAGAATTCTAATAATTTGTGACATGTTGATTGTAAAATTGTTTTCTTTCCAGTTAAAAAAAAAAATCAGCAGGACTCATTAAGGTTCCTCTTGTGTGTGATGATAAGTGTAGTTGGAACAAAAGGTTTAATTGCACAGGGTCAACGAACAGTATGTTGCCACTTGAAGTAACAATACTGATTTTATTACAAAATTACCTCTTCTGTTATTATAAATGAATCAAGTTTAAATGGATAACTTTATTTTACTTGTAAAATAATAAGGTTTTTTTTTTACTGGGGTTGGATGAATTTCCTTTACCTGAGTTTTTGTTGTTTTTTTTAACCAAAGAGTAAATATTTTTATTTTGAAGCTTCTCCATTTAATTAGCAAGTGTCTTACTATTAGACATGGGTTTGCCAACAAAATAAATTGTCACACAAAAGTTAAATTACAATTGGGGAAAAAGTTGTCCAATGAAATACTGCTCTGCTACTTATTTATGTGGTTTGAAAAACAAATACTGTTATGATTATCAAGGAAAACATATTTTTATCACCTTTTATATAGCCAAAGGAAGAATAGATAAAATGTGTTGCCCAGTGCTTGTGGTTTTTCAGAAAACCTAGTTTAACAAAAGTGAAAATTTAAATTTACTTCTGCTTGCCTTCACTAAAAATGTGGGTCTCTTCTTCCATTTATTCAATCTCAGCTATTAAGTTAAAGTTGCCTTGCCTATAGCTACAATATTTTCATAAGAACAGGTTACTTTTTAAATGTTGGTCTCTTGAAAGAATGCAAAATGTAGTTTTATTGTAACTCACAACCAGTTTTTAAATTTTCTTTTCTGCAATCTTTGTAATTCACATTGAACACCAGCAGTATTTGCAGTAGGGCTTCCATGCAAAGATCACTATTGGAATCTGGTAGAGGAGAGAATGTGATAAACTATCAATTTAATTGTGAATGTGTGTTTTCATTTTGTCATGGTGGTTGACATGTTTGTATTGCTGGAACTGTTTTCTAGAATTCAAAATCAACATTAAATGTGTGTATTTTTAAGAACCTGTTTCTATTTGCATTTGTTAAGCAAAAGCTCAGCTCTCATTTAATTTTTTTAAAGTAAATTCTATGGATTTTTTCAGTAAATGATGGTAGGGCTAATCTTGTATGCAATTTTTAAAATTTTATTTTATTTATATATCAAATTTGTCACCACCCATCTTGTTAAAAAGCAACTGTGTTTAGGATTGTACCTGCAATATATTTATTCACTCCCAAATTTATTGTATCAGTGCTACTTCTTTTTAGAAGTGATGAAATGACAGCCCAGTGCTAGATTTTTTTAGGCAGGCTAAAAAATTTTTGTAGGGCCAAAAATGCTTGAAAAAAATCTTAATCAGTAAGAGAGAACAGTTTACATTCATTTTAGATTGATAAAAGTTAGTGTGTGTGTCTAGTTATTCTTTAGAAGCATTTTAGCTTATTATTTAAACCTACCCTGCTAAGTCTCTGTAATGGTATTTGGGAATGACCTTGGGAGACATGGTGAAGAGAAGCAGCCAAGGGAATGGTCAGATAAAAGGCAACTTATCCTGCAGCAGGAATGTGGGCAGGGCAAGAGGCCCAGAAGAGACCCTCCCTAGTTTCTTGGGCTGTAAAGGAGATGGGGGGAGAGATATACTTTCAGACTTGCAAGATTCTATTAATGTAATCTTAGTGAAATAGAATTAGTTAATCTGGCCATGTTTCCTGTCTGGTCTACCTTGCAAGGCTGACAGTCTCATTAATTAGGCTTGAATTATATGAGAGCCTTCACAAATCCTCTTCAAGCCATGAGGCAGGGTTTACCCTTGAGGAAAACCCCTCTCCCATTCAGTTAAATATATTGACTTCAACTGAGAAAAAAAATAACCTTTATTAATAAAATGTCATGGATAAGATAATCTTTTTTTTAAAAAGCCTTTTTATTAATAAGGTAACATGCATGTAAAATGCAGATACATAAATACGCCAATTTCCTAATTATCTCTAGGAGCCCTTGAATTAGGTAGGACTGTTGGGCCCACCTTTTGGTATCCAGAATCGTAACTTATGGTTAAGCCCAAGTACAGGTAGTCCTCACTTACCGACCGCAATTGGGACAGGCAACTCTGTCACTAAGTGATACAGTCATAAAGTGAAATGTCACATGACCGTGCCTATTATGATAGCAGTTTTGGCTGTGGTTGTTAAGCACAATATCGCGTGACCATGACTTGCAACTTCCTGTTGGCTTTCCCATTGACTTTGCTTGTCTGAAGCTAGCTGTGAAGTTGCAAATAGCGATCGTGTGACCAAGGGATGCTGCAACCATCATAAATGCATGCTGGTTGCCAAGCACTCAAATTGTGATCACGTGACTGCAGGATGCAGCAATGGCTGCAAGTTCGAGGGGCAGTTTTTTTTCAGTGCCATCATAACTTCGAACAGTCACTGAGTAAACAGTCAGTGAGGACTACCTGTACTGTATTTGTTCATTGAAAATGTTGTTGACAGGAAGGGAATATGTTACAGTAATATCCCAGTGCCAGAAGGCAATAAGGCAGTAAGAGTTAAAGCACCCTCTGTGAAGGCTGCCTCTGCATTGGTGAATTGACTGTTCTTACAATGCTTAGTTAAGATAGTTGACTCTACTCAGGTTGCCACTCTAGAGGTAGACACCTGAGATTCCCCCTGCCAAAGCTATTGAGGTTGCTGTTCTGATAGATTGAGTTGTGATGTTAGTTGAGGATGTTGGTTACTGGCAAAGGAACTCAAACTCATTCCTTGACCCATTTAAGGTGTACTTGTTTCCCTGTGCATCCTGACATATAGGCTCCACTCCCATAGTATGCACTTAAGGTAAATTCTAAATGTTCTATGCACATCTGATTTATACCAATGTGTTTCCTGGGATGAATGGGATTTGATGGCATTGTCTTGAGTCCTCTGTGAAAATTGGTATTGATCTTAAGTGTGGAGCAGGGGTAAAGTTTCAGAACCATTTTTCCTTGGTGGCGCACACATAAGGCATTTTTGACCAAGGTTCAAGCCACCAGGAAGGCCATCTTCCAAGTAAGGACGTTAGCAGGAATCTTCTGAGCAGGGCAGGAGAGGCATTAGCCAGTGTCTTTAGGTCCAATAATGTAGGTGCCTGTTATGCAGAGTCTACAGAGTATTTGTGGGACAAAACCAGCCAGGCATGGGACTGTCTAGGGACAAGTTTTACTCTGCTTTTTTGGCCTATGACAGTATTGTATATTTTAATAAGTTTAAAAATGTTGCTGTACCTTAAATAATAGCAAAAATACAAAGATCCAAGGTGCAGAGACCTTTGACTTTTTCCTTCTATTCTCTTCCATCATCATGTTCAATATTAGAGATCATTATCTTGTTCTTGTAGGAGAGAACAAAAGAGGAGAAGCATAGGTGGGAGAAAGACGAGAAGAGAGAAAAGGCTGTACAGAGATATCTTACTATACTTTCTTACCATTCACACACAGACTGGGGAGGATGGACCCATACCCCAAGCACATAAATGGGAGAATTACAGAAATAAAATACACAATTGATTTAGTATTCCTTTATTAGTTTTTTTTCCATTTCACAATCACTTTTGCCCATCAATAAAAATCTATATTTTGTTTGCAGAATTTTTATTCCTGAGCATTGTTAAATTGTATCATACAAAACATATGCCAAAGTAAACTTACATAATAACGCAATTAAGCAACATTTATGGATTTTTTGTTGAAACTATAATATAGCTAGGGACAGACAGCAAGTTGTAGCTAAATATTAGAGGTAGAAAGCTACTCACAGCTTTGTTTTGTACAAAATGTTATACAACACCTTTACCAGTGCTATAGATAAACAGCCATTTATTTTCTGAATTCCAATACCCTCATTGGACTAGCATGTTTGTTTCAACTGCAAGATTAATAATACGGAAATAAAACCCAATTCTCCTTACTTGCATATATGTTACTAGATATATAGAATGCTTGCATTTTGTTGCTTAAATAAGAATCAGTTTTAAGATTTATTTGCTGCTGGAAGTAGTAGTCTGTGAATGATAGTATGAAGTTTTCATGAAGATTACTATAGCATCAAGACACTTGTGTGTCAGTGCTCATGCTCACCTAAATTTAATTAATATGTAAACCTGTTATATGAATGAAAGATTAAACAGTGGACACATTCATTAAAACTGTACTAATTCTCATCAGTTGATATGCTTTTATGTTTACACAGAAAAAAATTATGAGAGTACCTCACGGCGTTCTAGAATGTTTCTCAATTCTCATTTAGTCCTCAACTATTTTAGTAAATGCTACATTGTTTCATTTTTAATGGTTGAATTAATGGATTGTTAGTTATCATTAGGAATTAAACAAAGATCTGTGGGTCATATTGACCCTATCAGTTCAAGTATTAACTATGTATATTATTTCGAAAGAAAAGTTGTATGGCCTGTTACTTGATATGAATTATACATTCAAGAATAATTTCGGTATCCAAATTGCTGGGATTACAGGTATGGAGTTTACTCCTTGCATTCAAATTAGCATTGGGGAGAACCGTTTCTTCCCCAAGCAGACCACCGATACACAAAACAATTTGGCGAGCAATAGTTTGACTTGCTTTTGAGTTAGATTTTTTAGGATCATTCTGTCAATTGGTACAATTTAATTCACAAAGTTAGAAATAATTCTGAAGTGTTTTTAAACAATACATCTCACTTTTGGCTTACAACAAGTGTTAGTAAGAAATAATGTTAGTAAAATCAGTTGGACTTCAGTTAAGCTGCAATGTTATTCAAAAATGCAATATTTCATTCCATCGAATGATGTTACTTGGTATTTGCCTTTGCATGTGTACACGTGCACATACGCGCACGCACACACACACACACATATATAAATAACCAGAATAGTGAAATCAAATATTCATTTCCATTCTGCTATACTCAGTCTGAAAGTTGATTAAAATGGCAGTGAATCTCTTTGTCATATTTGATACTAAAAACAGGAGTAGTCTATCCCCTGACTCCTTGGGCAAATTTCTACCAGAAATGGAAACAGAACACTTGTTAATCATTTCCCCATTATCTACAGTAATAATTGTAACTCTATGCATGGACCAATATTTCAGTTCTCACTGTGCTCAAAGAATTCAAGAGTACTGTATGTCTGACAGCATTATAAAGTGAGAACATTGTAATGATAAAGATAGCCATGTTTATGATTTCTCAGTGATTGATTTGTATAGCCAAATAAAAGATATAAGCTTCCAAAGTCAACAGATTAAACTGTAAACAGTGAATCCTGATGTCAAATGTGTACATTAAACCTGTGCTCACTTCAAAAATTATTTTAAAAAGTGCTTCACACCTCACATGAGCTCAATACCATTCTGTTCATTAAAGCAACCTATCTTTTTTCAGGCTTCCATGACTGTATGAAAAAAGTTGTGTCTCTTTAAAGAGTTGTATTAACTTTAATGAGCATGATTCTTAAAGCAGCACCATCTTACTTCAGGGCTGCTAGTAGCAGTCCTAATACACATTAATATCCCCATCAACTCAGCATAGGACTGTTATGTCCAGGCACTCCAGAGTTAAAATTCTACATAAATAATCCAGAGGAAAAGTTTGCTTTCAGTACATAATTAAGTATGGTATTTGAACAAATGTTTCTTTCAGGACTTAGATTATATAATTTCTCTTTTGAACCATTATTGTAAAGATTGATTCACTATATTGATTTCCTAATTTGGACAAAGGTAGCTGATACCACTGAACCAATAACAACTCTGCTTTATAGACTTAGTGACTTGGATTTTATTCCACTCATTGAATATTAATGTCTATGAACTGCTTGGGTTTGGAACCAATGCCTTTCAAATATTCATTAGTTTTGAAAATGTCTTAGTTCGAATAAATCACAAGAACCTTGACTTAAACAGACCAATAGTACTGCTTGTTTTCAGCATATTCTACTTAACTCTGGTCATTAAATCACATAAATACTGAAAACACATCTTTATGTTATGAACCAAATTATTTACTTTTTTTAAAAAGTTAGGCAAAAAGTATAAACATATAATTACAAATATTAAAAATCTGACATTGCTCCAGTATTCTGTGCAAGACAAATGGCCTCAGAGACGAATTATGCACCAAGTCAGAGAAAAGCCATTCTGTTCACAATTTTAAAAATCATATGTGAATGTTATTGTCCATTCCAAACAACTGAGAAGTAACAGCCATCTCTCTTTCTTAATCAATGTATTGCAGTTCCCCTATTTATTGCTCTAAATGAAACTCTTTTATTAAGTTCTAGTTTTCCTTTTATCTTCAAAAAGACTCTTCAGCATGTACACCTGAACAGCTGACACTATAACCATTACTGCCAGGTTGACCACAGACCAGAAGTTTACCCTGTCAAAATTGCTTTCTTGTATGTTTCTATCACGAGCTTCAAATGCTTTGAGCAGGTTCTGAATCTGAATGCTTTTGCCAAGCCTAGCCTTTACACTGTTGACAGATTCCTAGTAAAAAAAAAAAATCAATTTTAAAACAACATATTTTTAAAAAGAAAAAATCAGAACAAAGATAAATCTGCAAGTTATTATTAGTGTTGACACTGAGATTGTGCTCCATCCCTCTCCACAGGCCATCATTCCTAGCTCCAATGTTCTACTCAAGAAGTATTTTATTTGCATAGTCAGGCAGCTGAAATTAGGACTCTTCTGCTTTTCACATACTATATACTACTAAAATATTGGAAGAATTTTAAGAAAAAATGTTCTTTAAGTAGAATCAGAAATCATCCTCTTTCAGCCAGACTTGCTCAGGTAAAAATTCCTTTGATCTCAGTGTTCTCTAAGGTGAATGGAAGTTATTTAATCTTACAGCTTTCACAATATTCCCAATATTCCAGCCAGTTCCCATCTTTATATTCATAGGCATACTATTCTAGTGTTGCTATTCCAACTAGATATACCCTCTTTACCTCATTAAGTTTTCTTCCATCATAAAGAAAAATAGGAGTTTTCAGAACATTCTGAATTTGAACCATTTTGAATCCTAAATAAAAATACAGGTATAAATATCTGAAGTAAATTTTAAGGTAATCACTAGGGATATATGTGCTGTAGCTACTACCTTGCCCTATTTGCAACCATTCTTGATTCAGTGGAAAAGAGGAGAACAAACATTTTAAATACAGGCAGCCATACATTCCACAAAGGTTGGCTATATTACATACCAGAATATCTTCTAACTTCATATCCAGAAGCTCTGTTCCAGTTACATATTTTTTCCAATCTTGTTCTTCATCTCCCATTTTATCTAAGATCAGTTCAAAGAAAATCACCTTCTCTGATAGGGTGCTAAATGTGTTGTCAAAGCAGAACATGTAATCACCTTCCTCTGTCTCCACTCTGTTAATATAAGACATTGCAGTTTAATATATAGACAGTATATTACTTTCAAGTCCCTTAATAACAATACTCTGAAACTTTGAAACTATACAGCTAATGTTATGTCTCCCAAACTATGCGCTGCGGCACCCTGGGTTGCTGCAGCGAATTTGCAGGGATGCTGTGGAATATTTTAAATTGTTGAGGAAAACAGCAATACTTGACATCTGTTAGACACTACACAAATTCAAAAGAGACAATAGAAAGGAAAACAAAAGACCATAACATCTCCTCACCAGCAATCATCACCCAAATAAGCTGAAATTAACACCAAGATTATCACCAGACATACAATCAAGCAGTAAACAATACCCTAATCAAGGAACTGGGGGGGGGGACAAAACAAAACCCCCACCCCCACCAACACTGGCAGGGCATGCCACAGGATATAAACAGAGAGCAAACCCCATTCCATTCTAGCACTGAAGATGTTACCTAGTCGGGTAA